ACTACTACTACTACTACTACTACTACTACTACCAGTTTTAGTACTAGTACGAGTACGACTACTACTCTCCGCACATGCTGCTACCCCGGAAGTATGCTGCGACCTGCCGGGTGAAATCTTTAATGTCCCCAGGGGGGCCAATATCTATTACCCACGTGGAGAGTATTCCCAGGGGTAAAAGGGCTATGGTGGTGGTGATGGGTTGGAGCCGTCTGGGGGTGGTTGAGAATGCCCAGCACTCCTTCTGGCCAGCAGGAGGGGCGGGCAGGTTGGAGGCTCTGGCTTCGGGGAGGTTATGTTACCTTTTCGTTTGCCTCCGAGGGCAGTTCTCGGGCCCCGCCCGGGGCCGTGCGAAACGGATCCAGGGTGCAAAAAAATGCACCAGGTGGACCTGGGAGGGTTTCGGGGACAGATTTGAAGCGGATTTGGCTCCGTGCCCCCCTCCTGGCAGATTTCTTGGGTCCCAACAAGTTCAGACCCCCAGGTCGCCTCCAAGTGATGGCGGTGATGGTGCGTATTGCGGTGGTGGTAGTGGTGATGGCGAATCGGGCGGCGGTGGTGAGAATTATGATGCCATCCGTATCTGCGTCGGTGCCACTGTTGCATGCTGAACCAAAATAAGGAGCATTCCTCGAGGCCAAGCTTGGGCCCAGTGTTGCAGGCAGGGTCATGGATTCATCCTCGCGTCACCGAGACGTGCTGGGGAGAGAGGAATCAACAGGAGGAGCTTGATGATGAAGATAATGATGATTATGAGAAGGAGGAGGGGGATGATGATGAGGAAGAGGAGGAGGAGGAACACTTCTTCGATGTGTGGAGCACTAGCGGCTACAAAGGCACATGTCTACGGCGAAACCGTGCGGTGAACCGACTCACTTGAGGCAGCAGTCCTGCAAACACCGATGAAGTGTTGTGCGTGTGAAGATGGAATGGTTTCGGCACGAGTTGAACCACCTGCCACAGACTCTGCCGAATGGGCGGTGGGATTGCCAGGGCATTTTGCAGACGCTGAGTGCAACACGGGAACTATATCCCCATGGGCTCTCTGTTTTTGTTAGTTTGCCATTTTCTATCCGTTCTGTTGCCACTTTGCAGCGTTTCTTCACTGTCGCTTCGCGTTTGTTTCCAACGAGTGCCCCCAGACGCTGGGCATCTTTTCCGTCCAAGGTCGGGCGAACGTTAAAAGTGGAGGGCGATGATGAGGATGAGAGGGGGGCTGAGTAGGAGGAGGGGGAGGAGCAATATGACGAGGACGAGAAGGGGATGGAGTAGGAGGATAATCAGGAAGAGGAGGAGGAGGACGTGGGAGGAGAGGGGGAGGATAGGGACGAGGCGCTTCCCTTATCTCCCCGCCCACCGTCGCAACTCATCGCTCAGAAGGCTGTGCATGCTCAATGCTTCGCTTGTCACCGCCAGCCCATCCAAGAACGATGCCAAGGGGAGCTGCTCTTGTCGGGGGAGCGCGGGATCATCTGGAGAATCCGGGGGGGCCTCTCGGAGTCTCCTGGGGCCTCTTGGGACGTCTCGGGGTCTCTCGGATGCCTCTTAGGGCTTCCTGGGAGCCTGCTGGGGGGTCTCCTGGCGGCTCTTCGGGGCGTCTCGGGTGCCTCCATGGGGGCCTCTTGGAGGCCTCCGGGGACGTATTGGGGGCCTGATGGGCGGTCTTGTGAGCCTCCTTGGGCGTCCTGGCCCAGGAGGACTCCTGGGTGCCTCTTGGGGGCCTCCTGGGGGCCTCTTGGGGGCATCTTGGGGGCCGCTTGGGGTCCGCTTGGGGGCCTACTGGGAGCCTCTTGTGGGCCATCCTGGGGGCCTCTTGGGCGGCTCGCTTGGCACTCTGGGGTTCTCTTGGACGCGTTTCGGGCCGTCTTGGAGCCATGTTGGAGGCGATCGATCAACGAAGGGGAGCCTTACTTAGCACGGCCTCCCCAGGAGGCGGTCCACATGAGCCCCAAACCTGCGGAACATCAGTGATGTTTGCTTTCTCGCCGATGTCTTCTTGCAAACTGTTCTGTTCCCACCCGCCCTCCCACTACAGAAGTACACCCGAGTCTCAGCATAGGCAGGGGCCAGGTGCACCATGCGCACCAGGTGCGCCACATTGGGCAATCTGTCGACCCCCCCCAACCAGCCTGGTCAAAAGCCCGTGCAACTTGACAACGAGTTTGCGAGCATTGTGTGTTGTGCGTGGGCGTGCACCCGCAATCACTTTGCAGTTGTTTTTGGCAGGGACGGCGGGCCTATACACAGCAGGTAGTATACCGTCCCCCCCCCCCGCCGCCGTTGTCAGAAACCCATGCAAATTGATGGCGGGTTTATGAGCATTGTGTGCTGAGTGTGGGTGTGTACCCGCAAGCTCTTTGCACTTGTTCCCCAAGTAGGCTTGCCTAAGGGGTTCTTACCTGGTTAAGAGTTGGTGCCTCGTATTCTTACGTTGCCCGTTGCCCAGAAGTTCCTCGGGTTCTCGGATTCCCCGCCCCCAGTGCCTCATATTCTTACGTTGCCCGTTCCCCGGAGGTTCCTTGGGTTCCACGGGTTCTTCGGGTTCCCCGCCCCCAGAGCCTCCTATTGTGACGTTGCCCATTGCCCAGAGGTTCCTCGGGTTCCCCGGGTTCTTCGGGTTTCCCGCCCTGGTGCTTCGTATGCTTACGTTGCCCGTTCCTCGGAGGTTCCTCGGGTTCCCCGGGTTTCTCTTGTTCTCCGCCCTGGTTGTTTGTCTTGTTTCCCAGAAAGGCCAGGCAACGTCAAGCAACGCCAAGCAGCGCCAAACAACGCCAAGCAGATCAAAGCAGCGCAAGGAAACGCCAAGCAATGCCAAGCAACGCCAAGCAACGCCGAGCAACGCCAAGCAACGCCAAGCAATGCCACGCAGCACCAACGCCAAGCAATGCCGAGCCCTGCAACGCAACGCCAAGCAATGCCAAACAACGCCAAGCAGCGCCAAGCAATGCTACGCAACGCCAAGCAGTGCAATGCAACGCTGGGTAATGCCACGCAGCGCCAAGTAGCGCCAAGCAGCGCCAAGCAACGCAAAGCAATGCCAAGCAACGCTAAGTAACGCAAGGCAATGCCAAGCAATGCAAGGCAATGCCAAGCAATGCCGAGCAAGGCAATACGGTGCAAAGCGAAGCAATGCCGTGCCAAGCAAGTCGAAGCAGCGCCGCCCAGGAAGCGTTCCCCTGCGTGGAGTCGCGCTGGATCAGATTTTCACAGGGCTGGTGCGCCTGCACACAGCAGGAGGCGGTATGCCGCAACCCCCTGTGCTTGGTATCGCTCGGACGTGTGCACTTTTTCTCGGCGGGGATCATTAAGGAGCATCCTGGATCACCCTGCGAAAAAAAACACGCACGAGACCGAAAAAAACGCAGGGAATGGACGTCCGAGCGATGGCCAGTGCGGTCCCTCGCGAGATGAACGAACTTCCTTTGTGATGTCCCAACCTGCTGCAGTCTTGACCACCAGAGAGGAAACAATTCCGAGCACTGGAGAGATGCCGAAACTGGAGGGTTTGGCTGCGTCGTGCCCTGGGGGGCGATGCTCGTTCTCGAGACCCCGCCGGCGTGTCGGACAGACCCTGCCTCGATGCTCTTGCTGGGTGCTCCAAACTACTTCTGCGACGCAGTCCCTGACTACGATGGGAACAATACAACACTTGCTGCAGCTGTGGTCGGAAGTGTACACATGAATCCCGCGCGACCGCAATTAGGGGAACACCTATTGCATTAGGGGAAAAACCTATTGCAGCGACTGGGGGCTGGGCGCCGGCTCCGAGGGCCGGGCGCCGGTGCGCGCACCCCGGACGCTGTCAACCTGCGAAATGCGAAAAAATGCTGGGCGCATCGCTTGGCATTGCTTGGTGTTGCTTGGCATTGCTGTGCATGGGTTGGCATTGCTTGTCATTGCTGGGCAATGCTTGGAGGAACCCGGGGAACCCGAGGAACCTCCGGGAAACAGGCAATGCAACAAGGAGGCACCAGGGGCGGGGAACCCGAGGAAGCTGGGGTACCCGAGGAACCTCCGGGCAACGGGCAACGTAAATTATACGAGGCGCCAACCTTTAGCCAAGTAAGAACCCCTTAGGCAAGCTTAATTTGGGAACAGCAGGCAACACGGCGCCCCCCCCCCGCTCTGTCCCTGTCAAAATCTAGTGCAGAATGAGCGCGGGGCGTCTGCGCATGATCCAGATTTCGGTACACGGTGCACTCTGTGCTGTTTTTCGTCAGGGAAGCTTGGGGGTTGTCGGCGTTGCACGAAGGAGGCAACAGACTGGTCCCGCCGCGCCGCCGCCCATGCTGATAACCACTGCAAAGTGATCGCGGGCGTCCGCGCAGTACCCAGATGTTGGTGCAAAGTGTTTTTGTTGCCAGGGATGGTTGAGGGGTGCCGGCTGTGCGCACGGCAGGCAATGTGCCAGCCCCCCTGCCGCCCCCGTCCAAAACGAGGTGATCGCGTAGGGTTCGTGCTGCCCCCTGCGTGCCCCGTCACCACTGCCTCCTGGCTGGCCAGCACGGTGTTCCTACCGCTCCGATGCCTTTTCAGCGCCGCACCAGTATGAGCCAGCGTACAGGAATCGGCCAATCCCAGCTGCCCGCTTCTTTCCTTTCGCTTCGGTCCACGCTGTGCACTGGAGGCTGTGCGCGCAGATGCTGGCTGGGCAGCACCCGCTTAAGATGGCTTGTGAGCTGGCCCGTGCGTCCCAGCCTGCCTTGTGGACCACAGCCTTGACTGCACGAGCTCGGCGTGCCTTCGGAGGGCCACGTGGAGCAAGGTTCGTTTGGCATCGCTTGGACGCGTGCATGTTTCTTCGGCGAGGGCCATCGAGGATCATCTCGGGTCATCGTGCGGAAAAACTGGCGCACAAAGCCGCACGGGAAATGGCCGTCCAAGCGATGGCAGGTTCGCGGGGCCCTTGGATCTTGGAAAGGGGCGGCGTGCCCGACGGCAAGTGTTCGGGAGGAGCGGGAAACAGCGGGGCCTCCGCCCTTGCCACGCGCTGAGCGGAGGAGTGCGAGCAGCTCCGTGGGATTTCTTCCGCCATCATGGACTTCAAGAGCTTCGCCACCCCCGTGGCCTCGGAACTCGAGGGAAAGCCGGGGGGCAAGAAGAAGCGGGGCGGGGCCAGGCGGAAAAGGGGGAAGCCGGACGAGGCGGACGCGGACGCGGAGGCCGATTGAGGGGCGCATCCTTGAGTTGGTTCAGTGGGCCAATTTGGGGCAACCTCCGTGGGGACTTTGCGAATTGCCCCAGCGGCGCCGTGTTCTTGCCCCGATGCAGGGCCAGGGGACCTGGAAGCATTAGAGGCAGTCGAGCGGGCGCTGACCAGGTCATAAGCCAATGCAGACTGGGTTCTAAATAGATTTGGGCCCTTGTTGGGCTTTGTCAGAGTCTGCTTGACCAGTCGTGGTCTCTAAGACTTGAGAGGGCCGTGGGCGCAAAGGTCCCCGGCCCCCTCTGGCCCCTCTTCCGCCACGCGCGCAGAGATGTTTTGGGACGTACTTTGGGCGGGAGCGCTCTGTGTGTTGCTTCCCCCAGGCCTTCCAGGCGTAGCCTTCCTCTTGGTTTCGGTATTCTCCCTCCCTCCCTGTCGTCCTCCTTCTCCTCGCCCTGGCCGTGTCTCACGATTCTAACGGCTAGGTGGGCCACGCGCCCCTCACGAGGTCTGGGTCAGGGGCATTTCGCCCACAGACTCGTCGAGGCTTTGAGGTTCCGAGGGACTTCCCGGATCGAAGAGTAAGATGGGTCCCCCTTCACAGCTCAGCGCACCCATCGGGTAGTCAGTTGCCCAAGGTTGGGACCCCTCCTGGGTGCGACGACTCTCTTGCGAGTTCAGCATGACCAGGTCGTGTCCACTCGTGCCGCCCTGGGCCAGCCCAGTTCCATGCAGAACGCGATGCTCCGACACCACGAGCTCTCATGCACAGCATCCTTCCTAAACAGTCTGCCCGTCAGTTTCCCATGTCGGATACAAGTTTTCAGAGACTCTCGTGGGTGCGTTGCCAGATCCTGAATCGATCGGGCGACATTGCCTCCCGTCCTCTCCCGTAGCTCTCCGTGGTTTCCCGTGGCCTCCAGTGGACTCCCGTGGCCTCCCAGTGCCGTCCCTACCCGCATCCCTCTCCCTCTCCCTCTATCCCCATCCCGATCCTTTTTTATATCTCTATCCTCTATCTCCGTCCTTGCCCATCTGTGACCATCCCCATACAGCTAGCCCTGCGTATCTCTATCCCTATCCTGTCCCGATCCTCGCGCCATGACCCCCCATCGTGGGCCCCATCGTAGCTGTGTGAAGCTGGTCAGGGTCTTTGCCGCACGGGTGTCATTAGTCTATGAGTGTTTCCGTCGGTGACAGGCACACACGCACGCATACGCACCCACACACAACACACACTCACCAGACCCCGCGACACCCTTGATTAGTTTACGTGCATATTGCCTCTGCGCCGCTGGTTTGTACAAGACGTGGCATCTGCGAGGTCGCAGACACGTGTGCCCCATCCGTGTAGATCGGCCTTGTGTCGGTGACTGGAACGCATACATTGCCAGTGGCGGGCTGTTTTCAATCCCCCAAGCTTTGAGAATCGGGGACGACGTCGTGGTTGTGTGGTGTATACTTGTTCCCCGTTCTCTCTGGGAAACAACGAAACATGTCTACACCAGGGTCCCGTATACAGTCGGGGCGCTGAAGAAGGAACCCTTCTCGTTGAGGAGGGGCTCGGTGTTCCTTGATTGTTTCACAGTTTGCCTTAGGCTTTTCTTAGGCTTTCGAAAGTAAATCGAAGTTGAACTTGTGGGAAAAGGGGCCTCGTTCCGTATTTAGGGTTCCTTAGGTCAACGCCCCGATTGTACACCAGGATCCGTTTTTGGGGGCACGTTTCAGTGCAGGGTTGGACAATGCGTCGGTGTATAGAGTTCGGTTATCTACAATGGAGCTACCATTCAGTGTTTCCTGCGGCCCTCAAGCTGCAAGCTGCGGCGTGAAAATGCAGGTCTCATTGCCCTCGATGTGATTATATGATTGCTGCCTCCCGCGTAGGTTAGCCTGTTGGACGGCGTGAGTAAGCTGCCGCCTCTGCGCCGTCTGGAACCAGCCGCAGACGCACGATCATACCTGAGAGGGCTGAGTGGCCATTCGCAGTCGAACCTCTCCTGCTCGTTTCTCCATTCCCATCCGTTTCCCCTGGGCCTGAGGGTCGGAGTTTGAGATCAGCCTCGTCAGCACTGGCATCATCAGGACCAGGAGGAGAAGCAGAAGCAGGGGCAGAAGGAGGGGGCGCGAGAAGGAGGAGGAGGAGGAGGAGGAGGAGGAGGAGGAGGCCTTCGGTGCACCGTTGTCTCGTGGGGGGTTTTCGCTCGCCGGCAGGCGATGTAGCCTGTCACCCCCTCTCCTCCCCCTTCTTCCGTCATTCCTCGGCCACCCTGACGCTTTCTGCCTATCTGCTCTGCCCACCACCATGGGCTCTCCTGGTCCCAGGGACCCCCCTCTTGTCACCTTTCCCCTCCTTGCTCTCCCCCCGTGAGGTTTGCCACTCCGCGCGGGTTCAAGGAACCATTGGCGCTGAAAATTGATCTGCCCACCGCTCTCTGCCTCTCGAACAGATGTTTCGTTGGCCCCCACGGCTGTTCCAGCCGCGCAGTGAGGACGCAACACTTATGTACGTCCATACAAACAGGTTGATGAGATCCACAGGCCTTTAAGCGATATTGGGCGATTATCCCAAACGAGGGGTGGATGGTCATACGGGAGAAGGGCTTGCGATGGAGAAGATGGTAAACTGCGCGTCGGGGGTAGGAGGATGCGCGGGCGTCAGGGAAGTGGCGAGCAGGCGGAGGAGGTTTGTCGACCATCGGGAAACAGGATGGCGCATGGGAACAGTTGTGTGGAAGTGGGAGAGGTTTATTTGACATGGGGGAGATGGGACGGACGCGAGGAGGGGGGGATGGCCATGGTGAAGTTGGGGACAACATGGGGAAGTTGGGACGGACATGAGGAAGCTGGGACAGGCGTGGGGAAGGCGCGAGGAAGCTAGGAAGGTCACGGAGGAGTTCACAAGGACACGGGGGAGGTTGTGCATGGACTTAGCCGCACGGGCCCCGGACCCACAAGGCCTAAGCCGGACGGGCCCCGGAGCCCCCAAGGCCTAAGCCGGACGGGCCCCGGAGCCCCCCAGCCTTTGCCGGACGGGCCCCGCAGCCCCCAAACCTTGGCCGGACGGGCCCCGGAGCTCTCCGGCGGACGGGCTCCGAGCCCCCCAGCCTTCGCCGGACGGGCCCCCCCACGCTTTGCCGGACGGGCCCCCCGAGAAGCGAAGCAACGCGGCGTTTCTCCTCTCACCCTGGACGTGCCCAGGCCTTATAGCCGGAAAGGGCCCTGGAGCCCCCCGTACTGAGCCGGACGTGCCCTGGACCCCCCCAACCATGGTCGGGCGGGCCCTGGAGTCCCACAGCTTTTGGCGTGCGGGCCCTGGAGCCCCCCAGTCTCAGCCGGACAGGTTCATAGAACCCCCAGTTTTAGCAGGACAGGACCCAGAACCCCGCAGCCGTAGTCGGACGGGTCCGAGCCCCGCCAGTCTGGCCGGAGGGAGTCCGGAGCTCTGGCCAGAAGGGCCCAGGGGACCTTGCGCTTCCCCGGAGTTCTCCGGCTTTGGTCGGGGGGGCCGCACCCCCCAGACCTTCGCCCAGCCCTCCCCATGACCACCCAACACCCAACCTCCTTCATGCCCGTCCAACGTTCCCCCTGTCAACATCGTCCCTCTCAACGATCCAGACCTTGCCCGAATGTCTCCGTGCCCATCCCCCCCACCGTCAGTGACTGCCCAACTTCCGCATGCCCTCGCGCCAATGCGCGGGCTCCCTCATGGCCATCCAAGCTCCTCCACCGCGAAACGCGCCAGACACTACAGCGAAGGCGCGTGTACTTGAGGGCCTGTGGATCTCATCAGCACATCGGTGGATGTGCATGTACATGTACATAATTGCGTGCATATGCACAAATACGCACACACGCGTACACACACAAACACAAACACAAGCACAAGCACAAGCACGCACACACACACACACACGCACACGCACACAGACAAGCACACACACACGCACACGCACACGCACACGCACACACACACACACACACACACACACACACACACACACACACACACACACACACACACACACACGGACACGCACACACACAGCACGGGACACGCACATTCACACGCACACGCACACGCACACGCACAGGCGCACGCACGCGCACACGCACACGCACACACACGCACACGCACACGCACACGCACACGCACACGCACACGCACACGCACACGCACACGCACACGCACACGCACACGCACACGCACACGCACACGCGCACGCGCACGCGCACGCGCACGCGCACGCACAGCACACGCACACGCACGCGCACGCGCACGCGCACGCGCTCGCGCACGCGCACGCGCACGCACACGCACACGCACACGTACACGTACACGCACACGCACACGCACACGCACACGCACACCACACACACGCACTCACACACGAATACATAGTAAAATACAAGAGTTCATCGAAGTTGCGCGCCATGTATATTGGTTCTTCAAGTTCGGCCTGCGGGCGGAATGAGAGATGGAAGTACGTACAATCAGCGATAACGCCGTGTTGCCGTTTTCGTCATCGTCGTTCTGATAGGTGTTTTATCATCCTTCCCTCACGTGTCTTCCTCTTCCACGTTCTCGCCTGACGCTTCGAACCCTTCCCTGCCCCCTGAGCTTTTTCTGGCCGAGGTCCCTCCTTTGAAAGCCCTCCGGGGGCCTCACGGAACCTGTGTGGCTTCTGGAGGCCTCTTGGGGGGTTGCTCTGGACACCTTCCTGCGAACCACTGTCTCCTTCAACGACCGAGTCAGGACTCGGAGTGCTTCGGTAGGCAGCTTAGGGCCATTTTGGGCCGTCATGGTTCCCTCTTCGGGCCATCTTGGGCCTGGTTGGTCCGTCCAGCAGATTTCTGAACTGCCTGCAATCCCTTTTTGGTTGTTTTGGTGGGATTTCTGGGGCCTCTTGGGCGGCCTCGGACGCCCCGAAGACAGAAGAACCGAGTGTCCAAAAATAGTGCAAGAACCAAGGGTCAATGTTTTTTCTTAGAAAGGGCTGAGGCCCAGGGTTCCCTTTTAGTCGGTCA